TGAACATTTATTGAGCTTATTGTGTATTAGCAACTGGGAAAATGCCTCTTGTGTCACTAAGTCTCACACCAACCCTATGTGGTATATTATTATTATTCCTTATTGTTTTATAGATCAAGTATTGAGGCTTAGAATATTGTTTAAAGATGGTAGAATTCAAATCTAGGTGATCTTGGGTCCAGAACCCACAATCTTAAACTCTATTACAAAGCCCACTGTATCATTCAGTTATACATAGAATAATGTGGTCTTAAACGTTCTGTAAATAGATTCTGTAAACTTGCATCATTCATTCTCATCAAAATTCTTTTAATGTTCAGTAACTTTATGTTGGGAAATTTATCTTGATACCTAAGTTAAACGTTACTCAAAAGAGTTCATTGCTGGGTGCCTGGCTGGCTCAGTCAGAAGAGCATGTGACTGGTTCTCAGGGTCATGAATTCCAGTCCGATTTGGGGTGCAGTGCTGACTCCATTACATCCTTTTTGGTGAAGAGGGATCCTCGCATGTTACTATCCTCTGTGCAAAGGGCTGTCATCATTGTTCTTCAGCCACTCTTTGTCCTGGTTATAAAAATGTAGTTTCTTTTATTATGCTATGGCATGGCAATTTTAAATTTTTTTTTAATTAAAAAAATTTATATTTATTCATTTTTGAGTGAGAGACAGAGAGACAGAGTACGAGTGGGGGAGGGGCAGAGAGAGAGGGAGACACAGAATCTGAAGCAGGCTCCAGGCTCTGAGCTGTCAGCACAGAGCCCAACACAGGGCTTGAACTCATGAACTGTGAGATCATGATCTGAGCTGAAGTCAGATGCTTAGCTGACTGAGCCACCCAGGCACCCACGAGTTAGGTCTTCTTAATTTACTATTTCTCGTGGAGTTTCTGTTTCCTCTGTGCTCTTTCTTTCAATTCTCTTCTCTTAACTTTTTTTTTTTAATTTTTGTTTTCCCTCCATTTCTCCTCCTTTCTCCCATTTATTAAGTTGATTTATTTCATAATATTCATTCCATTATCAGGAAAGATAAAATTAGTTGCCCTCAGCGGTAAGTTGAGGGGAACCTGAAAGGGAGACAAAGGTGAAGAGAGAAAACTGGAAAAAACTTTGAGCCCAGGGAAGAGGTGAAACATATTTTTCCAAAGGTACCCATAACAAATCATTAGTCTTATACACAAAACCTAATAATGTGGAGGGCTCCTCTGGAAGAGACAGACCCATCAAAATAAATAAAAGTAAGCTAGTGTGTTTTCTTCTGCTGAGCCTGTAGCCATTTATAAGTTGTAATTGTTTTTCTACCTTTGCACATCATTTATATACATGTGTGTGATATAACTATAGATAGAGATTGCATAACATTTATAATTTCCAGACCATCTAATATGTTTGGGATACTATATATGTGTTTTATCACTTTTTGTACTATTTAATGATAATTATATGACACAAGCTAATATCAGTCTGGGAAAATAAGGAGTTAGCTGATGCATTCTTTCTGTTTAAACCGCCTGTTAAATCAGAGTTTCTCTTCTCATTTTTCTGCTGCAAACAGATGTGGTTTTCAATTGTAGAAGTTATTGTCTCAGTCAGAGTAACAAATAGTATACTTAATCACTAAATAAGGAAAATTTTATTCTTTAGCCAAATTAGTCATTGGGTCACAGAGCATATGCACTTCCAAAATTGTAAAGGTTCATAAAGTATCTTGTTCCTTAACACTAATAAAAATGAGGGAAGGAGAGTACTTCAGTAGAAGTCCCTGAAAATTAAAGGACTTGGAGTTTGGTGTCCTGTTTCTGGAGATAACTTGCTTTCTATCCCCTAGAGATCCTCTTAACCTTTTAAACTTTAATTTCTTCAACAATAAACAGCATCAAGAATAGTAAGCATATTAAATTATTTATGGATTATAATGTACTTGTAAAGTGTATAAGGGAATGTATGATTAAATGTTTTTATAGGCCAGAATCTTGCAAAAAATTCTGATCCATTTCAGCTTTTTGGACTCTAAGAGGAAAGAAATTGTCAAGAAAAGGGCCTGTCTGAAGAGTACTCTGAACGATTGTTACTGCTAATAAAGTTACTAATTCCAGATGCTAAACCAAAGCAGATGAATTAATTTGTTATATTACCTAATTTACTCACTTGAGACTTTTTTGACTCACTCTACTGTTATTAATATTATTATTATTATTTTGCCAAGTTTACTGATGGCCTGGGGCCTAGAACTAACAATGGCTGCAGGGCTGTCTTTGTGTCCTTTACTCTGCGTCCACAACTGAGTGGGCTTACTGCTGTTGAATAAGTGAAGTCCAATCAGCCATCAAAGAAAATAGGCAAGTAGGAGATGCGTATTTGGAATAAGAACCAAGGAATAAAAGAGTCTGTGCCAATTCCTGGAGCAGAGCTGGTCTAGATGATTTGTTCTGGGCCTTTTTGATTCTATTCCACCTGCTGCTGGGAAGGATGGATATTTTCAGAGAAAGATAGTTTGCCTCAGTATCTAGAGTTACATCAGATCAAGCCAGAACAACTTCTGAATAGGAGTGTACCTGTGTAAACTGCATGGCAGAGCAAAGTGGAGAACACAGAGCAGTTAGTCTATTTTTACAGAGGCAAAAAAGAGGGGAGACGTGAGAGGAGACAAGAGAAAAGAGATTAAGACAGTGCCTTCTTTCATGTACGAATAGGCTCAGAGCCTTATATCTGTGAAGGAAGATCCCAAGACATGACACTCAAAGAAAATATACCACACCCTTGGCACTAATGGTCAGAAATTTATCCTCTGTCCTAACCACACACTATCATTCTTCCTGTACCTTGAGCAGTGTAAGGGGAACTATAAGTTTTGCTTTGTCAACACTTGATCAATGTTCATGAGATTCTCAAATATTTGAAATTTGTAAATTCTTTTTTTTAATATTTTGAAATTGAGGTATAATTTGATATTTGTAAGTTATTTAACATTTTAAATATCTTACTAATATTTAATTTGTTAGTATTATTTTCCTACAAAAAGATTAATTTGTATTGATTGGGTAAAAGCTGATTAGTATTATTAAAGCATACAAATAAGAGAGAAAGTAGTTAAATAATCTTTTAACTGACTCTGTTACTGCCCAACTACTATGCTGTTGGGCAGACCTTCATTTATCCTAGCTTCAAATGTCTCTAGAAAGTTTAGCTCTTGTCTCCAGATTTTGCTTTTTCCTTTTCTACCTGAACTCAATCATGAAAGCAGCAACACAGCACAGGTAGGTCACTATAAGGCCCACTCTGATCCCTTCATTGTTCCTTAAAGGCTGTCAGGTTCCTACTCTCTCTTCCCTTCTAGACTGATGCCCTCAACTGTGGAAAGGACATTGGACATACTCCCTGGTGTAAAGGTAATTGAGAGGGAAAGTACAGACTTATTTCCTGAAATTCTTTATAAATCATAAAGGCAACCCTTCCTTTGTAACAATTGCTTAGACTTTGGCTGTAAAGTGAAATGGGTTATTTGAAGTATCTACAATAATACAGTGGTACAATCCCTGATAGGACATAAAATGTATATTGAGTATATTATGTCAGAGTGGTTTGGAGGATCTTGTTTTTATGACAAAGTATGTGTCTGAGAAAAAGCATTTAGAGAAGTTTTTCAAACCTTATTAAATTTTAAACTTAAAAAAAATTGAAGTATAGCATACATACAGAAAAGTACTCTGGTATCTTTTGTGTAGTTAAATTTCTTTCTGTGAGGCAAGGCCAGCTAATGGAAGATTCCCCCAATCTTAAGTTGGGTGAGCAAACCTAAAGACCTAGTGTATTAGCTACATAATTTTGAGCTTGGGAATTTTGCAAACTCCCAAATTTGAGCAAAAAACCTTGGGGATTTTTGCTTTGTTACAAGATCTTACTACCTCACTACTAGCCCTACTAAAAAACCCAAATATTGTGATTCTTAGGTCACTTTCCCAGTGTCATCAGCAAATATACATATGGATTTTTTATGTAAATCAGTTATCACAAATTGAATTACCCCTTTTGTCACAATTTTAAGTTAGGAGTTTCATCACCAAGTAAGTTTATGAATACTGGAGGAATACCATTGTGAAACATGTGTGACTCTGTATGAAACCACTTATATACATGCCACATACTGTCTCACTGTTAATAAACTCTAGTTTTAAATTTATTTAATTCATGTTGCCTTGAGTTAAAAAAAAATTTAAGTTATCTATCATGGCTTCAGAACATGTCTTCTATTTTATCACACTCTGTCGAAGGTCTTCAGTTATCCCCAGTTGCCTACAGGAACAAGCACACCTTCCTTAATCTGGTGTTCAGGAGTCTTTACATTCTGTCTGTTGTCTTACTGCTTGACTGTCTCTTGCTATTCCTTCTGCCTCCTCCTCCCCTGTTGGCAGCATTAGATGCTAATTTATACTAAGTGGGACTATATCAGTCAAACTTAATGAACTCTCAATGAAAGACTCTTGGTTTTTCCTTTTTTTCTTTCAAATGTATATATTGAGTTCAGTTGGGTTGATATATCTTATGCTCCCTGTCTCTTCTTGTAACAGTACAAAATGTTTTCACGTTTCTGCCACCTTCAGAATGACTTTTTGTTTCCATTCAATTCCTATAATAGTATTATGGCTCAGTTCAGGTCCTTTCTTTTTCATAAAGCCCTCTAATATAGCTAAGCTTAAAGTGTTTTCACCCGCCTTAGGAATTTTAGCATGCTTTTCCTATATTACACTGGCCAATAATACATACTGCCTTTTTAATATCAATTGTAGTTTTATATTGATATTTGATTGTATTATTTAGTTTTCCATTTGTTTATATCTTGTTTCTGGAATATTAAAATCACTTGAGGGCAAGTATTATATCATATGTAGTCTTTATAGATATGTATATGCATGTGTGTATATTTACAGACATGTATGCATGTGTGTAATACAGACATGATTGTTTTATTGATTGTTAATAAATTTGGATCTATTTTTTGAAACAGCTTTACAATGAGTTACATATTTGCTTTGAAACCACAAAATCAAGTGAAGCTATGCTCCGGCAAAGTGTTGTTAGTCTTCAAGATCAGCTATTTCAAAAAGAGCAAGAAAATGCTAAATTAAAAGAAAGGCTTCAGGAATCACAAGGAGCACCCTATCCTTTACCTCAAGAAAGTGATTCAGAGCACTCAGAACAGGTGAGAGACATTTTCTAAAAATGTTACCCAGTACAATATCAAATTTTCTCCTACAATTGACTAAAGCACATTTAAATAAATTTATATATATCAGAATGTAAGTGTTGGAAGATGGTTTTATATTGTGCTATTTTTTGTACTCTTTGTTGACATCAATGTTATGTACAATATGGATTCATATAGAAACACATATAGAAATATAGGGTGGGGTGCCTGGGTCACTCAGTTGGTTAAGCATCTGACTTCAGCTCAGGTCATGATCTCATGGTTTGTGGGTTCGAGCCCCATGTCGGGCTCTGTGCGGACAGCTCACAGCCTACAGCCTGCCATGGATTCTGTGTCTCCCTCTCTCTCTGCACCCCCCAGCCCCACCTATGCTCTGTCTGTCTCTCTCTTTCTCTCTCTCAAAAATAAATAAACATTAAAATAAATATAGGGTATAACTGGCATAGTTATGATGATGAAACACTTGACTGAAATATAATAATGAACAGCAAATTAATAGGTCATGCCCATTTTGAGACTTTTAAATTGAATGAGGAAATGGAATGGAAAGAGTATAAATTGGAAGTCTCATAAAGTAGTTGCATAATGCCAGGTATATGATACTTACTACCATTTAGTCCCAATTTTGCCACTATCTTGATGTATGTTTTTGGACAGGACCTTTCTACCTACTTCCTGGTGCAATTCCAGCTTCTGAGGTAGTGCAAATGTAAAGATAAATATGCAGGTTCAGGAGTCAGGTAAACCTGGAATCAAATTACAGCCCTGCCTGTGAGCTTTGTGAACCTGAGCAAGCTTCCTAACCCTTTAGCCAAAGTTTCCTCATGAACAAAAATGTTAGTGTTATTGCTATCTATATCATAGAGTTTTGTAAGCATTAATGAGAGAATGCATATCAAGTGCAGAGTTTGGCACATAGAAATGTTCAGTGATATCTCTTTAAATTAATCTTAAAGGTAACTTTCAGCTCTAAATATATAGTGTAAGGGGGTGCTTGGGAGGCTCAGTTGATTGTCTGACTCTTGATTTTGGCTCAGGTCATGACCCCAGGGTCCTGGGATCAAGTGTCATGCAGGCTCTGGGCTGAGCATGGAGCCTGCTTAAGATTCATATTCTCAATCTCTCTCTCTCTCTCTCTCTCTCTCTCTCT